GTAGAATATCTGCACTTCTCTGACTTCTTTTAGTGTCAGCCACTATAGTATCTTATTAATTTTTCCTGATTCTATCTGTATTTCTTCTGTTGACATAATATGTTCAAGATATCCAATTTCTTTCTTATGAAAGTCATACTTTTTTAGTTTTGCTGATAGATTGTACTTCTGTAGTTTTTCTAGTACTTTCTTAATCTTTACAGTATGATTCTTTCAGTTTTCTTTGATGTATATAACCACATTATCAAGATATTTTGTTTCAGAATCTGTCTTTTATTTGTTGTCTTCTTTAGTTTGTATCTGATAGTAGATGTCTTTAATATTAATTAGAGTAAACCATGTTACTTCTCTCAATCTGTCTTGTACTTTCTTGATCAGTAGTACTAGATAACAGTTTTTGACTATAATACTATTCAACTGTCTGTAATCTATATATAGTTGTAGAGTTCTGTCTTTCTTTAATGCAAACAGTATTAGATATTCTACTGATAATGTTAACTCTCTTATATAATCTTTCTGGAGATTATTCTTGATATATTTTTTTACTTCAGCTGATTCTTTTTTGTTTAACCTGTATATTAGCAGTTTTGTCAGTTATTTTCCTTTTTGTAGCTTTATCTTATAGTTTCAGAGTTCATACTTTAATAAGCTGTTACTTTAATTTTTTTCTCTGAATATATTAATGTATTTTCAAAATTCTTCTGGTAGAGTCTCTTTGATTTTTTCATTCTGATCATTTTTTTGTACTTGCAGCTGCACCAAGTTATTAAAGTTCTTTATAGTTTGATCTGCTTTTTTATTATAAATTAGATTTTCATAAATCTCTTTAGCATTAATTGATTATTCTTTGTGTGATATCTTCTGATTAATCTGGCTTATTACAGCCAGTATTTTATCTAAGTCATTTCTGAGTATGGGTCTCTGATTATGACTTTCTGGTTTGAAAGAGTATTTACAGTTTGTCAGTCTAATTTTTTCTTCTTGTCAGTTAATTTCTGGATTGTGCTGTTTTAATCAAGAGTATCTCAAGACTATATCATAATTCTCTAGATTTGTCACTTTAAAATGTACTTTCTTGTAGTGTTGTTCTATTTTCATTTTAATAGAGTATGTCTCTTTTTTAACTCTATCCAGAGTTCTCTCTCCCAGTTCTGATAACTGATAGGAGTATTTCTTTATTTGCTTTATGATGCCAGCTTGTTTGGTGAATCTTCTATTAATAAATAGTCTGATTGCTTCTGAGTTCACTAAGACTGTTGTGTGCTTTGATTCAAGTAAGATTATTATAACTCTGAGATAACAGATTTGTTCATTAATAGTTAACAGTTTTGCTTGCCTATTCATACTGCTTATAAACTCTCATTTATAACAGTTCACTTATTTTCTGAATCAACAAGAGTTATCTTAGATGCCTGATTATATATTATGCAATTTTTCTTGTTAATACATCAGATTTTATGTATTCTTTGCATGTACTTGTTGTCTTTATATTCTGTGCAGATTTTACATTCTTCTAAACCATGCAGGGATCTTGTCATTTTCCAAAATATCTTGTTTTTATGAAATTTGTATTGATATTTATACTTAAATTTATCATAATAAGAATGATCTGGTTCTTTCATCTCTTTTTGTTTTTTACTTCAGTGCTGTTTACATATTATTATTGCTAATAATTTATTATTTTCTTTACATATTGTTCAGTGCAACTGGTTGCCTCAGATCTGTAATATTCTTACTGTTAAGCAATTTTTCTCTTCAAGTATCTTGCTTTTCATAAGACTTAATTTTTTTATAACATCTTCTTTATGTTTCTTAAATTCTAGTATTTTCCAGCTTAGCTCTTTTTTCAGTTTTGGTGTAAGCTTTTCTTTCTTGCTTAACTAATATTCTTTATTATTACTGTTATCTTGCTTCTGAATTGCTTGCAGCTTCTTTAATAGTTATAGATAATATCTGCTATTCTTTCTATCTTGATGAATAAAGCAATTGTCTTTATAGCAAAAGCTTTAATGAATTCTGGCATGGTCTGAATGTTTCACATATGAGATATTCTGTAGAGCTGACATCTTCCATTCTTCTTTCTCAGTATCACATCTGCAATGCTGGTAATTCTTGATGTTGTAATTATAGTCTCTGTAATACATGAAGTCTTCTGTAATCTGTATTTATTATTTAAACTCTTCTTATTATTATTATTATTATTATTATTATTTATTATAGTCTTATGCAGTCAGTAACTATAAAGACTATCTAACAGCTTCTCTGTTAGAATTTACTTAGTATACATTGTAGGAACTGAATAAGGGAAAAAATTCAAAGTATTTCAAGACAATATAAGATGTTCTTTCTCCACAAAAGTCAAATAGCAGATAGGACATAATATTAATTTTAAAGGAAAATAATAATTCTTGTAGCAATATAATACAAATCAAAAAAAATAAAATTAGCATATTTAAAAAAGCCACTGTCTAGTAGCTATTCCAGTACATTTCAGAAATAAAACTAGCCATTTTAAGTCTAATTCAGTTTCAAAAATAAAATTTAAAGATAGTTGAGAAATATTAAGTTTTTCTTGAATTTTTCTTCTTTCAGTATGATAAGCTGAGCAGTCTAATAGTAGATGCTTTGGATTTTCAACACAATTACAGAAATAGTATAAATTGAAAGAGTAGTCAGATAATCTTATTAGATAAGATCTGAAATATTCATGATCAAGCTTTAATTAGTAAATAGTTGACCATATCTTCTTAGATATAGAAAGAGTAGATGCTTTCTATCTGGATTTTATTTTAAATTGAAAGTAGTGATTTGTAAAGCTTTCTCTATTAAAAAGATCTTCAAATCACTCTATTATTACTTGTTCTTTTATTTGTCTTTTTATATAAGTAAGAGATATATATCTTTTAGAATAAACTTGATTTAATTCTGTAGCTTTCTTTGCTGCTAGATCAGCTTCTTCATTTCTATGTATATTTATATGTGCAGGAACCCAATGAAGATGTAGATTAATTTGCTGATTTTTAATAGACTTAGCAGTTTTTCTTATAGATTGAAGATAATATAAGCCAGAATTAAGATCTTGATTCATGAGTCTCTGAATAGCAGCTTGACTATCAGAAAACATCCAGATATCTGATATTAATCTTGATTAAGACTGAGAGATAGAACTTGCTAATTTAAATGCTTTATCTATAGCAAACAGTTCTGCATCAAAGACTTCAAGATATTTTCCTAGATTCTATGAAAATCTAATATTATCTTGTAGCTTCTGGCCCTCAGCCACTCTAGCTCTGGAGTTCTAGGCCCATCCAGGGGTCAACCAGACCTGTAGGGAATGCAAACACATGGGGATACATCTTAAGCTATTATATATGTGTCTATAATAACTGACCGCCACAAACTGTTCTCTCAAGCCAGTATTAACTATTCTGATTCTAGTTAAGCCACTACTGCCCAGCCTACTGATCTAGTAGCTAGTTCTCTAGAAGCTAAGCTAGCCTACTACTTACTAGACCCTGCTTTTCAGTTGCTAATCTTAGCATTCCAGCCTACCAATTAGCTATCATGGTCTTGCCATATAATGACTAACCAATTACCTCTATCAGAGATAACCAGGGGTGCTCTTGTCAGGTGGTTTTCAAATCCATTCCCCTGAATTGGTGCCTCACTTAGTTACCCAATTATTAGTTATTATTGGATTTCTAAGTGGAGTAGCTTTTAGTAGTGCAGTGAAGCCTATCCACTTGCATTCATTTTAGCTTCACCAGATGCTAGATAGACCTACTATCTCTACCCAATCATCAGTTATCATTAGGTAAAAGATAGTAAGTAGCTTAGTAGAGCCATGAGCATACATGTGTTGCTTTTTACACTGCAACTCTGGTGGGTAAAAAAGTGTGCCAGTTGAAGAATTCAAACCCCACACTCTAAAGTGCATCTGCAGCTCATTTTTACCAGTAAGCTATCTGGCTAAACTCTTCTTATTGTTTCTGGTGAAGTTTGCATGAACATTTATAAATCAGATATTGAGTATGTTTCTTGTGTTTTGGATCTTGAATTTTGTTCATTTTTCATCTGTAATAATATTTGCAGTCAAGTAGTTAAATTTTCCAATCATTACTTGATTCATTTCTTGTTCTTACATATAGTTCTTCACATAACTTTTATTGTTTATTGTCCAGCTTGTTTTAGCATTTTAGTTTATTTTCAGGCTGCTGGAGTAGCTTCAAATAAGCTTTTATAACTTGATCTTCAAATATCTCTCTGAACTGTTGTTGGAGTTTTTCTTCAGTTTGCTTTTTCTGAGTTGTTGCTTGAAAATACTACTTAACTTCAGAATCTTCTTTATTTTCTTTTGAGATTGCTCTGAGTTTCTTGTCTTTTTGATGTGTCTTTTTTGCTCTATACTATCTTGCTTGATATTCTGACTTGATATAATAAAAGCATAGTTTTTTCTTTTTTCTTTATTCTTTTTCTTTCTTATTAAAAGTGTCAAACTTCATTATATCTAGCTTCATGAGTGTATATTTATAAGAATCTGGTTACACTTGCTTGCTCTGGCCTTGATTTTCTGTATAATTTAATAGGCTAGCTCTCTTTCATGATGCTTTTTCTTGTTTCTCTATCTTTTATTTATAAAGTTAGTTTGCAATTCTGACTGCCACTTTAATTATTTTGGTCAGAATGCATGATCATTTCTCTAATTATACTATTTTGTCTTTGATCTTATTGAATAGTTCTTGATAGAAAGTGTTAGCTAAGACTTTATTATTTCAATAAGTGTTGACACAGACTTGCTGGAATCTCATAGTATAGTCTTGTAGTGATGACTTTTGTTGTATGTAATATAATTACTGGGCTGCTACATTCTGTTTCTCAACTTCTCCAAAAGTGATTTTCAATATCTGAATAAAGATGTTGTAATTGTTAATGATCTTGAGCATGTTATTGTTCTGATTATCTTTATCTTTCTTGTAGTAATTTCACAGATAGATATTGAATTAATTGAATGCTGCTCTGTAAAGATATAATACTGTTATTATTATCTTGTTCTTGTTATTGTTAAGTTCTTTGCCTTTCATATTCATGTAAATGTGTAGTTGTCTCAAGAAAGCTTGTAGTTTTTCTTGTTTGCTCTTGAAAAGTTCTGATAAATTAACTTTAACTTTATCTTTCTTTTCCTGTTGTCTAGTAAATAGAATAGTCATGATCTGGGCCTCAAGCTGCTCATTATGATCTTTCAATTCATGATTCTGCTCTTTAAGTTTCTTGGTAATCTGTTTGAGCTGCAAGATTCTATTCATGAGATCTTGACTGTTAATGACTGGTATTTTGAATGCAGATATAGTTTCTATATTCTGTTAGATCTTGACATGAAGTGGAATCATATCTTTATTTTTTAATGTAATACAGACTGTTCTTTCTTTGTACATAATTTCTGAGATCTCAGATATATTCTCTTCTGAGTCAGAGGTAATTAATATGTTATGTATTTGTGTGATACTCTTGAATTCTTGAGGGTTGAAGAGTATTACAGTAAGTAATAACAGATTGAAGTAGTAATTAATAGTTCAATAATACTTTAGTTGAGCCAGCAGTCTTGCTCTGATGATAAAGAGTTTCTATGCAGGTGTAATAGAGTCAGAGCAAGACTATAAGATCTTCTCAAGAGTAGCAGAATCAGGTACAGTCATACAGTATTACAGGACTTCAATAATATAAAAAGTAATCAAGATATGAAAGTATCTGATTTAAAGATATCTAGTAGATAAGTAAGAAGATTAATCACAATAAACAAGTTCATCAGATCTCTTGTAATAAGCATTCTTATATACATGATGCTTTTCTAATAATAGTTTCACTAAGCTGTTCTATCTATTCTACCACAATATATTTGCTATGTCCTTCAATTAATTCTATTATACTCAGTGCAACCATTTAGCTTATCAGTTCTATTACTGGTTACATGATTCTTATCTTAAAGTTCTTTCACAACAGTTTATGATTTTGCCTTGTCAGGTTTCATCCAATCATCCTGTGTGTTCTGTTGTTATGCTGCAGGATTCATAAGAGATGCCCACAACTGATAAAAGAGAGTCATGCATAAAACATATAGATCTGCTAACTAGAAGACTGAACACTAAGGTTTACACAATCTGTAAGAATTATGCAATTCTTATATGTTCAGAGATATGGCTATGTGATGTTTCAAACATCTGACATCATCTGATGCAAGGTTGGTCTAGGCCTATGTTCATAACAAAGAAATAGAAATCAATAACTTTATTTTTTCAGGCTCCAAAACCAGTACACCTGATCCAGATGGTATATTCTTTCTTATACTACAAAAAATCTATCCAGTAAAAGATAGATTTTTTAAGTTATACTCTATACTATTTGAAAAGAAATATTATTCAGAAATCTGAAGAGAAGCTACTGGAGTTATTGTAAAGAAATCAAATAGAAAAGCTTTAATACCAAAATCTTATAGAATTATCTCTCTTCTTAACTGCTTGAGAAAGATTATAAAGAAGGTTATTGGTTCTAAATTTTCTTACTGGGCCTCTTAAAATAAATTACTATACATTAATTAGTTTGGAGAAAAGAAGCAATACTCTGCTATAGATACTATAATAAGTTTGGTATATGATATTCAATTAGTAAAAGCTAATAAATTAGTAGCTTCAGCTCTTTTTATTGATATAAAAGAAGCATTTGACTATATTTTACTAAGTAGATTGTTAAAAGTCTTCTCTGATTTACAACTATTTAAGTTACTAGCTACATGAATTTTTCATTTTATGCAAACAAGAAAATCCAACTGATTTTTGATAGTCAGAAATAACAAGAAAAAATATCTATAAATATTGGAATTTCTCAAGATTCATCTCTATCTCTAATACTTTTCTCTATATATACTATATTTTTCTTTAAGAATGATAATGATTTAGATCTTAAAGATATCAGAATTTCTAGTTATATAGATGATACTGGACTTGTTGTTTTCTCTTTCTTAATAGAAGAAAACTGCTCTAAGTTAGATAAAGCTTTACAAGTAATGTCTAATAGACAAGATTCTTATGTGATTTAATTTAATATTGAAAAAACTGAGTTAATCCACTTTACTAAATCATTTAGTGAAGATAACTCAGTTAAACTACATGACCAAGTTTTCAAACCAAAAGGACTAGTGAGATGGTTAGGTATTTGGCTTGACAATACTCTTACTTTCAAGAACCATATTAAAATTAAAATATCAGCTGCTGAAAGAGTTCTTAATTAAATAATTAGACTCTCAAATACTGAAAAAGATCTTACTTTTCAAGCTATGAAACAACTTTATATAACTTGTATTACAGTAGCTGATTATGATATTCAGATTTGATGGAATAATCAAAAGAATCTTCTTACTAATTATGAAAAACTTCAAAACTATGCTTTAAGACAGATTCTAAAAGCTTTTAAAACTTCTCCAATTTATACTATAGAGATTAAAGCTGCTATTTCTTCTGCCAAAGTAAGATTTAATAGATTATGCAGAAACTATACTTATAAACTGTTAAAAATGCTAAAAGAATATGCAATCAGAGAAAGAGTATCTTCTAGCTTTCTGTCTTATAATAATGATGTTGATCTTGATTAGAGAAGATTTTTAGATTGAAATCAATCAGAATTAAATAATGAATATGTTAAGTAAACATTAATTAAAAGAAAAAGAAAAAAAAGAAAAATCAATAAACAAAAAAAGCATTCAAGTTAACTATTCAGAATTTGTTCAGTGATTTCAAACATATTATCTTCTCTAAAAACAGAGAGAATCAAAGCAAAATAGAATGCATCTTGATCTGAAAATCTAGCTGACTTGATAGATATTCAAATTGAAAATTCAGACAAGAAGACAGCTAAAAATAGTCATATAAATAGAATTAAAAATCTAGATATTAGATCTTTAATTCTCTATTCAGATGAATCCAAAGCTGAAGAAAATCAATATGCTGATGCTGGTGTATACAATCTACAAGATAATATTAGACTTTCATAAAATCTAGACAACTATCTTGAAGTTTTTGATGCAGAATCTTTTGCTATAGATAAAGCATTTAAATTAACAAGTTCTATCTCTCAGTCTCAATCAAGATTAATATTAGATATCTGGGTGTTTTCTGATAGTCAAGCTGCTATTCAGAGACTTATAAATCAAGATCTTAATTCTAGCTTATATTATCTTCAATCTATAAGAAAAACTGCTAAGTATATTAAAAATCAGCAAATTAATCTACATCTTTATTAGGTTCCTGCACATGTAAATATACATGGAAATGAAGAAGCTGATCTAGAAGCAAAAAAAGCTACAGAATTAAATCAAGTTTGTTCAGAAAAATATATATCTCTTACTTATATAAAGAGATAAATAAAAGAACAAGCAATAATAAAGTAATATAAAAATCTTTTTAATAAAAAAAGTCCTACAAATTACTACTTTTAATTTAAAATAAAATCCAGATGAAAAGCATCTACTTTTTCTATATCTAAAAAGATATGGTCAACTATTTGTTAATTAAAGCTTGGTCATGAATATTTCAGATCTTATCTAATAAGATTATCTGACTACTCTTCCAATTTATGCTATTTCTGCAATTGTGTTGAAAATCCAAAGCATCTACTATTAAACTGCTCAGCTTATCATATTGAAAGAAGAAAAATTTAACAAGAACTTGATATTTTTTGACTATTTTCATTCAAAACTGAATTAGGCCTAAAATAGCTAGTTTTATTTCTGAAATGTACTGGAATAGTCACTAGATAGTAGCTTTCTCCAATATGCTAATGTTATTTCTTTTTAATTTATATTATATTACTACAAGAATTTTTGTTTTTCTTTGAAATTGATACTATACTATCTGTTATTTGACTTTTGTGAAAGAACATCTCATATTGCCTTGAAATACTTTGAATTTTTTCTCTTTTTCAGTTTCTACAATGTATACTAAGTAAATTCTAACAAAGAAGCTGTTAAGTAGTCTTTATAGTTACTGACTCTATAAGACTATAATGAATAATAATAATAATAATAATAATAATAATAATAATAATAATTTAAATAATATACATTAAGAATGAACTCTTCTATATTATTTTTGTGTCAGATAATAATCATGTTCTGACAGAAGTACTTAAGTAATTGAGAGATTATAATAATATTTTCTCAGAAGAAAAAGTGATAAAGTTACTAAATTAATAAGGATTAGTTATTTAATTATTCTTAAAAATGGTTGTGACGCCTCTGATATACTAATATATACGCTATCACTCAAGCAGACAGAGATTTTCTTGAATATATTTATTATAAAGTTCAGCAAAGGCTTCAGTATTGTTTGCACTCAAGACTAATAAAGAACTCAGACTCTGTATTGATTATTGTAATCTTAACACAGTTATAGTGAAGAATTGTTACCTTTTGCCATTAATAGACAAGATGCTAAGCTGGCTGACAGAAGCATACTACTTTTCCAAGACAAATTTATATAATATCTATCACTAAATTGAATCAGAAAAAGTAATAAATGAAAGATTATATTTTGTACAAAGTTTGGAAGTTTTAAGTATTTTATTATATCTGTTAAGTTATCAAATATATCAGTAATCTTCCAGTCTTATATAAACAAGATGTTGGCAAGCTTGATTGATATATACTATATAGTTTATTTAGATACTATTCTTATCTTCTCAATCTCAGAAAAAGAGCATAAGAAACATGTTAGACTAGTTATAAAGTATTTAAGAGAATATTAATTGTTTGCAAAACTTGCTAAGTATGCTTTTAAAAGATAAATAATCTCATATCTCAGCTATATCATTAATAATGAAGGTATTAAAATGAACTTAAAGCAGATACAGATAATTATACAGTAACTCTTCTTATAAAGTTCTCATAATATCTAAGTATTTCTGAGATTTGTGAACTTCTATTAAAGATTCATACAAAAGTATTCAGTTATTATAATACTGTTAACAGATCTCTTAAAAACTAGTAAAAATAAATAAAAGAAGAAATTATTTCTTCTAATATCTGCTATTAGAGAAGTATTTTGTAAGTTGCAGATAGTCTTCTCTGAAGAGTCTGTCATCCAGCATTATAATTTAAAATATAAAATATATCTAGAGACAGATGCTTTGAAACATGATGCAGGCACAATATTACTACAGCTGTTTAAAAATAAGTAGTATTCAGTTGTCTACTGATTATTTAATTTTGATCAGACTTAACAAGTTTATAGTATATCAGATAAAAAGATGCTGACTA